CAAAGAAGGTGACATCCCTGCTTTTTATAATTTGATATGTTTTTTCATCTAGTAAGCGATATCCTTTTGTATTGTCACAGTATCCCACTAAAATCATCCTTTTTGACTTTTTGTCCCACTTCTGCCGTTTTTCCTTTGGTACAAAGACCATAGCCTCCGAGCCAAATATTCTCAGATGGGACAAGTCTGGTTTGTATCCATTCCACATTTCAAAGGGTGTCTTACCCTGTAAAGCCTTATTAGGAGATCGGTTTAAAATATATGCTGCGGTCCCCACTGCCTCGGCCCATAGTTTCTTCTGTAGATTGGCATGGAACAGCATGCACCTAGCTTTCTCAACTAATGACCGATTCATCCGTTCAGCCAGTCCATTGTGTTGGGGGGTGTAGGGAGTGGAGGTCTGATGTACTATACCGCTGTTGGATAAGAAATTCTCAAAGTGAGTATTACAGTACTCAGTACCATTATCTGTTCTTAAAATCTTTATTTTCTGAGAACAATGGTTTTCTGCTTTGTTTTTATAGTCCTTGAAAACATCCAATACTTTGGTTTTATTTTCCATGAAGTAAACAAACACCATTCTTGTATAATCATCGATGAAAGTGATACAGTACTTCATACCTGAGCAACTCAAGTTCTCCATGGGTCCACAGAGGTCAGAGTGAACAAGTTGTAAAGGTCCTGAGGCTCGAGAACCAAGATTCTTGAATGGTAATCTAGACTGCTTGCCTTCACAGCAAGAGACACACCTTGTCACATTACTCTCAGTGTTGGTAAGAGTCACACCCCTGACACTGCTGGGTAGTCTGTTGACATCTGAAACATTCAAATGGCCCATACGCAGGTGCCATAAGTAAGTGTCACTACACTTCTCCTCACTGAAACTTAAATTTGCAGTTTCAGGACTATTCCCAGTATCCAATATATACAGTTTATTATTTAAAGTTGCTGAACATATCAGTTTTCTATGTGAATCATGAACATCACAACCTCTTTGAGTAAATGTTACTTTATAACCACTGTTAACAATTGTACTCACTGAGAGCAAATTCACGGCCAAACCAGGAACATATAAAACATTTTTTAACTGAATCTTCTTACCCTGTGCTAGTTCGATGTCAGTGTATCCAACTCCTTTTACTGACAGCGGCTCCTGGTTGGCTACTGTAATTTTCTTTACCGGTGGTTCCGTGACATTGTACAATCCCTGCCTGTTACCGGTCATATGCATGGATGCACCCGAGTCAATGAACCATTTATTACACTGAGCACCTGAAAAGGCTGAAAAAGCTGCGATAAAACCTGTATCCTTTTTTCCTTTTTCATTCACAGTTTTTTTTTTAGTGCTCGTACAAAACTTCGCGAAGTGTCCATAATTATTGCATTTGTAGCATCTTGGCCCTTTCGTCTTTGGTTGTTGTGGCCGACTATGTTGTTTCCTTGATTTTGAACCAACATACAAAGCGGTACTGGTATCTGCTGATCTAACTTCTTGTAGTAGCTTGGTCTTGATAAGATCGGCACTAATCTTCGCGCCAGAGCTCTCAAGTCCCATAATCATAGGAGCGTAGACGTCAGGCAGACCGGCCAGCATCAATGTACCCAGCCACTCGTCGTTGACTTCAAACCCTATGTTCCGTAACTTATGGGCTGTGGTCATTATTTTGTGAATGTATGATTCTACATTACCGCTAGATTCCAGAGTACTGTTCACTAAATCTTTCAACAGCCCAACTTTTCTGGTTAATCCGTTGTCATCAAACGCTTGTTGCAGAGTCTCCCATACTTCTTTGGCTGTGCTGCAAGTTTGCACATGTATGTAATTTTGCGGATCTAACAACAATATCAATTTAGATTTCGCCTTAATATCTTTACAAGGATCTACGGGTTTGCCATCTTTGGGCTCCACACATTGCCACAAATCTCCGTGTTCGAGATAAGTTTTCACACTGAATTTCCATGTTGCGAAGTTTTCACGCCCGATCAACTTATCAAGATTGAACATGTGATGCGATGAACTCATTTTTTAAGAGTTTTTCGTAACTCGCCGGTCACTGGGACGCGTGTGTATAATCTCACTTTTTATTCCGGTACACCACTAAACACTGATAAATTCTGCACGAATATTTTGTACTGATACTTGCTAATCAACCACGTTCTGCTACCATGTAGGAATTATTGAATAAAGCAAGTATTAACTTTAAATATTGTGTAATTTATTTCATAAGACGTAAGCGTTACAAACGTGTGTCAAAAAGTGAAAAAAAACAAAAGAAGTGAGAACGCCACACAGCGGCAAAAATGCGAACTACTTATTTGATTGCGTTCTATTTCTAACAGATACGCCAAAAAATCTTTATAAATGAAGTTTCATCTCAGTAGATTTGATCGCCGGATTTTAATACGACGTGGATGAATAAATGACTCTAAAGACACAAGACAGAGAATTATTTATTTAAATAAAAGAGCTGATCGCAACTTATATTAAGACATAAAATTTTTGCTTCAATATTAAGAATTAAGTTTTTCTAACTTACTTTACAACCACCGTATTTAGTTAGCGCCTGTTAATAATATTTAGTTATTTGTAACTAATTGTTATTAGAAAACAGTAAGGCGCAGCCAAAACGATAAGTTCTCTTAATACCTGTTTAGGTATATATTTTCACACGAAATCTAAAATACATGTATATTACTAAAATGTGATATGAGGACTGAAACTCGACAGTTGATATGTCAATCAGATTCAACATGCCTCTGACTAGTCAGTGTTCACTGCCGAATTTTTCCTTAGGGAAGTGATCGGTGGCGGCGACACTATCTCTCAACTACTTAGTTTCGTCATGTGTAGGTATCACAGACACATTTTTCAATTTGAAAATTTGTCGCCTTGTCCAAGCCCACGTCTTATGGGACGGCTTCTGTGTGAAGTATGCTTTTTCCAGGAAGTATACCAACCTTTTTCCATGTTCCTTAAAGGAGGCAGAGGGCATTCACAAAGATCTTCTATCTCAATCAGCCTTAACGTTCACATTCACCACGTTATACGTCATTCCGACGCTTGTCGCTTTTGCCTTTACAGTGAGATGCCAGGTTTGACTAAGACCGCCCCAGTCCTTTTCCACAGTGGGTACTGGGGAATCTGAAATGTCGTGGTGGCTGGAGGTTAAGGCGCTTGCCAGCACACCATTCACATCACAGCATCAGCCTATGAGCGCCCTCTGCTGAGAAAAGGCTGTATCACCACGTTTGCTCAAGGCGGATTGGCGACTTCAACTTCGCGATGTTTTCCTTTACCGTATGTCGGTGGTGTTTAAATAATCAACGGAATTACATAAAAAATCGGAAAAAGTCACAATGCTTGCCTGGTTTGAAAGGTTTTTGCCGCACCCTCATGCATAATGAGCCATAACCCCCGGGCCACCACGACATTAATACTCTCATATGTAGCTTTAACTTCTCTGAGGACCTGCTTGATCTTGAATCAACATCAGCCGGAAGACGTCCACTGCTGGACAAAGGCCTCCCCCTTAGCTCTCCACGTCGAACGACAAGTTGAATCAACATATCTTCCTAATATTATAAATGCGAAAGTTACGATGTTTAGATGTTTGTTACTCAAACACGCCAAAATGGCTGGACGGATCTGAATGAAATTTGGGACAGTCATAGAATACACTCCGGAATAGGACATAGGCTACTTCTTAACAACATACCACGCGAGCCGCAGGCGAAAGTTAGTTTCCTATAAAAATCGAAGCAGTCGTTTCGGAAAGTAGCGCTTTCAAACAAACAAAACCCTTCTAGTAGAACACTATTAGTACACATTTGATAGCTCGTGTATGGCACATCCTTTGGGTAGCCGTTACCGATTCCGATGAGGAACAACTTAACACGTATTTTTGTGAGATGTGTTGTTATGTAAAATTTGTTAACACATCACGTTTTAATGTAATTATAAGTGTTTTTTTATTGTCTTCTACAATTAAAAACTGTTGTGTTGTGTAATTTGCATGCATCATGCTTACCGAGTAAATTCTGAGAATTAAAAATGTAAACCTTATTTTGTTTGAGTTTTATTCTAACCATGTACGCATAATATACACCTAAACATTCACTCATAAACTAACACTAACTTATAAGATCGGACTAAAGATTTGGTCCAAATGGGACAAAGTCGGCTGAAGCAATCGACTTCATTTATAATTGTACCTACAATATATTTGATGCTCGTAAATTATATCAGGTTGTCATATATAGGTACAAATGTGAAACACTGGTTCGATTCTCAAATTATAAGTACCTAGTTCTGGTAGCATTCTGTATTCAAATTTTCTTTAATTTTCCATACGTGCTTATTGATTTGTTTGCAGATGGATTGAAGGAAATTTTATTGGAATGCATAAGTACTGCAATAGGAACTTATGAATGTTGTTAATTTTTCTTGTTAATGTAATTGGATTTAATCCGTATTAACATTAATTTCTGGGCACAACGCAACTCTGAAGGAAAACTCATACCCTACTTTCTAATTCTGATTTAGTACAGCATTATCAATTATCCTCGTCATATATTTTAAATTAAATCTATCCATTAATATCAATAAATCAGCTGCACAACACATGATAAACAAAACTAAATGTTTACCAACACCAAGCTTTTGTAAAATTTGTTTTACAAAATGTCGATAACTGTTTTCGACCGTATAGTAAAAAAAAACTGATATACTTACGCACAATAACGTATTGCTATATGTAATAATAAAAGAGGTCAACCACCGAAACCAAAATTAGTTCTGTACCAAAATAAGTACTGCAAAAGTCAAAATAAATAATTTAATTTACAAATTCGACGTAATAAAGCAATGCAAAATGTTATCTCTGAACAGTCAAAGGTTAACGAAATTGTTTGATAGTCGTTTATATAAAGTCTTGCAAAGTCGGCTACATTAATCAGTAAAAGTTTAAGATCTCTGCCTCCGAAAATAGTAACTTTAAATCATGTGGAAAATAATTATTTTATCCATGGTGATCGTTTGTAATGGCGGTAGTGTGGACGACGTTTATGGGGACTGGGTACCAGTTGCATTTTATCCTGTTGTCAAGTACATTCCAACATGCTTGCGAGTGTCGTTCGCTAAAGTGTCGAAAAATGTTCAATGTACATGCGCGGATTCAAAGAATACAACATTGTTGCTGTTTAGACGACCAGGACAGAGTGATGATAGTCCAATGTTCCCCATACTGGCGGCTGACATGACCATTGATGTGGCAACAGCTTTAAACGTCTCGTGCAGGTGTGGTCACAGCCAATACCAACACCGCAAAGTCGCGAAACTGATTAACGACAATTATTTAGTGCTTTACGAAATGCAGAACAATGCGTTTTCTACAATCGGCTCTGAACCAATTTCAGCCCAGATGTTTACTCGAGAAATTCCGACGTATTTGGAACTGAAGTTTGCAATGAAAAGTATTGACGACTTTAAATATAGAAGTGTCGGGATAATATGCACTCAAGAGTTTTTAGAAGCGGAGGTACGATACAACATGCTACGACAACAAGGACAGTTAAGAGATCGATCAGCTCGCTCGCCACGTGTCCAGAAATTCACCTACGACCTTGTGAGATTCATTAGCAAAAGCCTGAGTATGCTTGAACCTTAAGTAATACAGATCTTAAACTATAATTAAACCTACTTACTTCATTTACGGAAGAAGCACCAGAGGTACCATTGTTAGAAAAAAAAATTATATAATTTTACAAGTCACGTTGCTCTTTTATTTCATGTTGTTTTAGATGACGCAGAAAAATTGAGGATATCTTAACACCCCAAGTAAGACCCCGAGGCATCAATAGTCATCATAATCTTTAATTTAATATTGTCATTAAAATAAAATTAATTTTGTCATCAAAATAGAAAATCTTACAAAATACAATAAAACATTTTATCTGGGAATTCCTAATTATTTTTGTTAACATTTTCAGGTATCTACGTGACACTCAGTAGATACCGAACACGACTGTGAATTAATGTCAACGATCTAGTTTAATAGGCAATTAGATTGACCAATAAATTATACAGAGGTCATTGTGGCACTAATTACATGTATATTGATAGCTAACTAATTAGCTAGCCATATAGGTCGTAAATGTATAACCACTATAGGTACCTAATGTTGTGGCTACATTTGACAGGATTACATAATAAACATCAAGGAATACAGTGTTTCAAAGTGGATCAACATGGGTATGATGTATGAGTAAAGTTATCGAAGGCTCTTCACCTCACCCATCAACAATCTTCAAAGAGACCCGCAACACATTTGCAACTCCTTGGTTTGCCCTTGGGTGCTCAATTTTTTTTTTTTCGTATGAACAGTTAATACAGGATTATCACTTAAAATAGCAGCTGAAAACCACTAAGGTTGATACTTTAGCTATCATGAATCTATCTTAAAATTAATTGACAGTAACAATTATGGAAAACTTAACATAAACAGGCCCTCCATAGTTTAGTCTTAGTTTTTTGGCGTAATAATATTTTGTCTTTGTATCAACTTGTTTGCCGACCTATAAAAAAAAAACCTTTAAATGAGACAATATTAATAATAATCCTAGGACATTAGGAATTAGGTACTAACTACATGTATCTAGGTAATTATAATAAACTAAAAAAAATTGGCTAGATTCGCCGCTATCGTGAAACTTTTTGAATGCTCGCATTACAGTGCAAAATATTTGATAAGCTTTATTGAATATTTCTTTGCATACATATAGTGAGGGTTTGTAGCATAATAATGTTAAAGATTTTTTCCACATAAAATTGAAAAACTACGTAGACGTAATTCTTCTAGAATACAACGCGCTCATTTTTTTTTTCTTTTATTTGGAAATTATAATAATTGGACTTAAAATAATTAAGTGAATTTTGGTTTAAAATGCTGTTAGGAATCTTCTAAATGGCATTAATGCATGCAACAATGGATAGTGGGAATATATGGGCAGCAGACAAATATTAGAGGAATGAGTTCACTATACGTGTGTTAGAGAAGATAAGTCCAGGACGCACCCATTGTCATTGTGAGGACCACCCTGAGGATACGGTGGAGCATACGGTGGCGGTGTGCCCTGCTTGTTCTGAGCACCGCCGTGTCCTCGGGGAAGTGACCGGCGGCGGCAACCTCTCGCGCCCGGCCTTAGTCGAGGCCATGATTCGTAGCGAGAGGAACTGGGAAGCCGTCTCCTCTTTGCGGACGGCGAGTCAGGGTAGCTCGCCCCCCGTCCAGAAACAGACCCTAGCGCATGGCGCGTAACGTTCCGCGCGCGCGTCAAAGAGCCAATAGACCACCACAGACTAATTTTGAAAGACTTGGCCCTTCATGAAAAAGAATAGAACCAAGGCGGCTTAATTACTTTTTAGAATTGTGCGCAACTAGCTCATTGTAAGTACTTAATATATGTATTTATAATTATGAAGTGCCACGACCCCGGAGATAATGATGCAAATATTTAGATAATATAATCCTAAATGACTGTGATTCATGAGACATTATAACGTCATTTTTTGGGGTTTCGTACCCAAATAGCAATAACGGGAACCCTATTACTAAGATTGTAGCTAAGCTTCGGTATGAATGGATCGGCTCGTTTGAAGAGAAAGCATGGCCTCACCAATGGCGTTGTTTCTCCCCATCCCATCCCAATCCTTAAATATACAAAACCCTTGTCCCTAAAAGGCCGGCAACGCACTCGATACTCCTTTGGTGTGACCATCAGGTAAGACCATCTTACCTAATTCTCCAGGACGTTAGCCGACCTGCCCCATAAGAAAAAAATAGCTAGTAAGTTAGAGTTTGGTAGGATGATGTAGGATTTCAAACGTCACAGTAGGCGATCAAGCTCGGCGCCCGACCAGAACCAGACCCAAGCACACGGCGCGTAGCGCGCGTCTCCATATGCCTATATTGCCTATAAACTACCCCAGATGGGGTCCAACAGAGCCGAGGTTTTTTCGCTCGGTACCCGAATGAATTAACGAACGAACAATACGGAACCCTTCGAAATCGAGTTCAAGAAATGTACTTGTTTTAATGTCAGTACAAATAAGAAATACATACATTATTGTAAACAATAAAAAAAATTATAATAAAAAAGTCTTCAATGATATTGTTTTATTTACATTATAATAAAGATAATGGTTACTAGTATAGAAGGTTATGGATCAAATCAAGAAAAAAAGTTGCCAATTATAGTGATGACAGTGAGTAACACTAAGTTTTAAATCAGTGTACAAATTCGATAAATACAACTTAGTGTAGACCCTACACTAAGTTGTATTTATCGAATTTATTTATTGATCAGCTACGTAAATATTTTATTTGGAAATTATAACAAGGAATTGCAATACTTGGTACCATCATCAGCCTATGACTCACGGCTGAGCAAAGGCCTCTTCTCACACAACGAAGATATGCTATAATAGCATTAGGCCTTCACCACGCTGGCTTAAAGCGGATTGGCGATTTTAAACTTAAATCTAGATAAGTTTCCTCACAATACATAGTCAGGCTATAAATACTGTTACAATTAAAAATAAACAAAATATTACATTTGAATTTGGAATCTGTCATTTTTATATATTTTTTTATCATTGTGTTTTCTAATTTTGGCGCCAATAAATTGTTCAATATTTTGCGATATTAAAATGGAGTGGGGTGATAAAGAGAACCGAATCGCTGTGATTGCATTACACAAAGTGGGTATGGAGCCAAATGCAATTTTTAAAACTCTCCACACGCTTGGCATTTGTCAAATGTTTGTATGTACCGGGCTATTAAAAGGTACAATGAGACCTCCTCTGTTTGTGACAGAAAAAGATCTAGCCCTCCACGTAGTGTTCGTACGAAAAAAGCAGTAAGGGAAAGAATTCGAAGAAATCCTGTCCGAAAGCAAAAGATTTTATCTCGGGAGATGAAGATAGCACCTAGAACCATGTCGCGTATTTTAAAAGATGACTCAGGTCTTGCAGCCTATAAGAGACGCACTGGACATTTTTAAATGATAATTTAAAAAAGAATAGGGTGATATGATCTAAACAACTACTGAAGCGGTACGCAAAGGGAGGTCAATGAAAAATTTTGTTTACGGATGAGAAATTTTTTACAATTGAGCAACATTTTAAAAAACAAAATGACCGTATTTATGCTCAAAGCTCTAAGGAAGCTTCTCAATTAGTCGACAGAGTGCAACGTAGGCACTGGTTGGTGTAGCATGGTTTGGTGGGGTGTTAGCTATGAAGGAGTGACTGAGCCATACTTTTGCGAAAAAGGTAAAATACCATTCTTGACAAGGTAGTTAAGCCTCTTAACAACACCATGTTCAATAACCAACAATGGTCCTTCCAGCAAGACTCGGCGTCGGGGCATAAAGCTCGGTCCACGCAGTCTTGGTTGGAAACGAACGTTTCCGACTTCATCAGAGCTGACCGGCCGTCGTCTAGTCCCGATCTTAATCCGCTGGATTATGATTTATGGTCAGTTTTAGAGAGTAGGGCTTGCTCTAAACGTCATGATAATTTGGACTCCCTAATCCATACGATTGGCAGTGAAGAATTTTTCCATGGAAAGAGTGCATGCTTCTATTGATAAATGGCGTTTAAAGGACTGTATTGCAGCCAATGGAGACCACTTCGAATAATCTTTTTATGTTTTATATTTATGTATTAATCTTACATACTGTAAAAGTAATAAATGTTATTTGTAATAGAAAAAATATTTTTTTTATTTATGGCTAGACTAGGTACTTTGCACGGGTGCAATGCTGATACCAAATTTGTCCAAAAATTTGGATGTTATTATACTTTTAGGTACGTTCGTGCGTGTAGCGTGGACTACCTGTAAAAGGAGAGGGTAACTAAACGGCCCACACTCACAGTATTATTATCGTGATGCATGGCGTCGCCAAGATGCACGTCATGTTCTGATTTCTATCATTCATTTTTATTGAAAAGATAATAGTAATTTTGAAAATATATTTCATGTACAGAATTGACCTCTCTACAGATTTATAATAATTATAGATGAATGAACACTTAGAAACGAAATAATAATATATGATAAAAATCCTTGTCATAAATCATCCGTCGGCGTTGAAACCTTGACCACAAAATTATCATATTTTTTTTATATTAACATTTAGTTTAGATAATGCATCTTTTAAAGATAGTTTGACAAATTTTCTTTGTTATTTTACAAGAAATATAAAGAAAGAAAGTCCGTGTAAATTTAACGTCCGTAATTTTTTATATAAACGTTTTATATATATAAAAAATGTAACACTACCTACAACTATAGAGATAAAGTAAAAAAGTAATCTTAAATTTACTTAAAAAATAGAGGGCACGAGCATCGGACACGTTTTTTTTACCAACTTAACAGGTGCTAAAACTGATCCGCTCCCCTACTCCAAAAATAACAATAAAATAGCAAGCTTGTTGCCCAGTTGTTAAGGGGTCCGTGTTGGAAAAATAACAGTTCAATTAGTGCATCACATCACAAAGTGCCAGATATCACATCATGCTACGATTCTGAATAAATGGGGTCGCGCCCTCCTGGAGCTGAGGTATATACGAGTACTAATACGTAGGGGTAATCAAGCAATGCTTAGTGCGTGTGTTTTGTTTATCTCTGCGAACAACATTAAAAATTGCCTCGTTGTGTGAGCGATGACAGCGCCCCTAGTGGCCGCAACTATTCAGGACTTGTTATCTGTCAAATCATGTCAACTATATGATAAGATATTTTTGTGATATTGATTTTCGACTAGTTATATATTATACCTAGCGATTCCAGAATTAATTCACATTTCTGCCACGTCG